CGATCATAAAGGTTCTTTTGCATGATTAAACTCTTAAACATAAAACATTTAAATAAGTTTCTTCAAATATGGTTAGCCAAGATTCACTTGCTTCCTGATTTTCTAACTAGCATTTGCAACTACATTAGGTCACATAACCATTAACCATACTTGTTATTCTATCTGTTATGCAGCCACTATTTGATATTGATTTGAAGAATGCAAATGTCAAAAAGACTATTGATAGGAAAATGCAAAGGGAAAGCCTCATAAGGGTGTAAGCTGGAGCAACCCTCCATATCTGGTAAGATGTTTTAGACCTAAAGATATAGTGCACTTGATGTATTTAATTTCTTTTTGAAGAAAACATATTTAAAATTCTTAAAGCTTACTCTAACAGTAAATTAAACCTAGTCAATAATATGAGCTTCTTTTCTTTAGCATGTTTCAGGTTATGGGGCTTTGGGAATTGAACTTTATAGAACTTGCAGATGCCTTATGATAGAGGGGTTGAGGTCACAAGTTGTACGTGAGTTGTTATTCTATTATTCAAGAAAATGGAAATTCAGAAATGACTAAAAGTACAGGACGCCATCATATTAGTCGTGGGACTGACTTGGATGCTCCGGTTGGTCATCTCGAGATGTGGCGTCTCCGTCATTGTCATCTAGAACATGGTTGAGTATTTGTAGAAGAGAAAATATGGTAACAAGTGTATTCATGCATTTTTTTTTCTGATTGTTTTCCAAAAAAAGAGAGTATGAAATGGTGGCAGGTGGGGATTTTTATATGAGGCTAGTAAAGTAACAACTTTTTTAATACCAAAACATTGGCATACGTTTACAGGTTAAACAAAAACTTAAATAGGAATTCAATCTCAACTTGTATTAAGTAGAACGGGTAGCATTTTCGCAACTATAATCCCACCCCTACGGGCTGAAAATTTTCTATATTATTTGTCAAAATGATGATTTAATCTACTTATTGCTGCAGTATATATTTTTCTTTAAAGTAAGTTTAATCTACTTTGCTAGAGACTATAGGGGTGATGTCTCCCATTTATCTGGGAGTTAGTCTAATCTTTAAACAGGTCGTTAGAGATGGTATTTTCATGGATTTTTCGCTAAAGAAACAAATGAAAGAAGTGTTAAGTACATCCTCATTACTAATCCACGGTGACATTAGTCCCATTTATCAGTGAGTTAGCCTATCTCCTAGGATTTTTAGCGAAACAAATCCACGGTGACATTAGTCAGTTTGCACTTTTCAGAGGCGTTAAGCACGGTTTTTTCTTAAGAGAGTTGTTGAGAATGGATTTGGGCTGTATTTATATCTTCAGATTATTATTTTGACTATTGGTCTCGTGAATGAGCAAAACTGTCAGCCTTATTGTCTGGACTCTTTACTCATTTGGTCTTTCGTTTTGACTTTATTAGAGGAAGAAATCACTAACTCGTGGTCATACTACTATCAGTTTTTACATGCTTACAAACTGTTTGATATACTTTCTTAGAGAACTTTATTTATACTATTATGCTTTGAATGCTTACGTGATGACTAAGTTAAAAAATGGTGCCTTTGCAGGTGAGTAGGTGATGACCTTTTGAGAGATCATCAATCTATATTTCCCGGTAAATTAGTTTTGAAAACCTGCATTGTTCTAAACTTTTCTTTGATGATAATGTATGTTGATACATTGTGATGTTTAGTGTTTTTACTTCAATATTCTAGAGTTCAAATTTGGGTTACTGTTCTTTACATTTTTATCATTAAACCTTATTATGACTCGAATCAAAGTGGTAATTGATGATTAATAGCTTGCAATTTCAGTTGATAACTTCAATATTTTGACGTTGATAATATTTGTACCGAGTTTGATAATATTTGTATCATTAAACCTTATTGTGTAACCAAGTATGATAATATTTTCATCTTCAATTTCAGTTTTATCCTAGTGGGTTGTACATGAAATCCAAATGGAAGATGTATTGGGCATGGACGTAGACAGATGGTAGAGGTTACAATTAAGGCCAGTTCCAAGCTATCCGGCCAAAGTTCTTATGTTCCTTGTGATGAACACTTTCTTCTGAGTTTAACATTTCTTTAGCAATATCAATATCAACATGTTCTTTAATATGTAGAAGTGTTAGTTTTTTAGTTGTGCCGATTTGATGTGTAAAATTTTCAATTGGATAAAATATTTGTGTTGTAATAGAATATGTGAATCTTACAATTTGAGTTATTAAATGAATATGGTTGTTTAATATTTTGTTTATTTATAAATATCAATATGATTTTACTAATATGAGATATTATAATATTGTTAGTAAATATTATAATATTATAATATGAATATGATTTTATTATTATGGATATACATACACATGATACCAATGAGTCATAAATATGTATGATACCAACGTGTCAAAACATTTTTTGATATTAATGTATCACTAGTTCAGATGATGTCTAGGAGTCACTGTTTGCTATGATGTTTATATGTCATAATTTTGTGACACAAAAGCGATTTGTTAACGGTGACACTAAATTTTGTGTCACTTGCCCCGCTTTTCTGTGACACTTTCAGTGTGTCATTAAATCGTTTAGTGACACTAATTTCATGTCACTATAAGCCATTTTTTTACTAGTGTAATAAGGCTAGCAGAACAAATAGAAGGCTTATTATTACCCATATGAATTTGCTTCATGGGATCTCCAATCACATAAGTTGGGTTACCATCCCTATTTGTTGTCAAAGTGACTCTAGTCCCATTTCCCTCGATGTTTCGATTATCAATTTTCGTCTTAGTGCTTTTGTCAAAGGATCCGCTAGATTTCCTTCTGACCTCACAAAATTAATGGACACAATTCCATTCTTCAATAATCGTTTAATGACTTTATGTCTTAAACGAATGTGTCTATTCTTCCCATTATAACACATTTTCTTAGCAGTATTTATTGTACTTTGGCAATCACAAAGAATAGACACCGATGGTGTTGGTTTTGTACCAACTGGAATTTCTTCTAAGAAATTTTTCAACCACTCCACCTCACTACTAGTCACTTCCAAAGCTATAAGCTCGGACTCTACAGTGGATCTAGAAATGATAGTTTGTTTGGTTGATTTCCACACGATAGCACCACCTCCAAGGGTGAATATATATCCAGTACTGGATTTAATCTCATCTGAGTCAGAGACCCAATCAACATCGCTGTATCCCTCTAGTACAGTGGGTAAGCCTCTATAAGATATACCATAATTAATGGTACCTCTCAAATATCTCAGTAACCGCCTCAACGCGGTCCAATGATCCCCATTTGGATTATGGGTATATCGGCTCAATCTTCCGACAACATAAGCTATGACGGGTCTCGTATAGTTCATTAAATGTAATAAACTCCCAATTATTTGTGCATATTCATATTGAGCCTCGGGATCACCTCTATGTTTTCCCAAATGTGTATTAGAGTCATAAGGGGTATTCACAGGTTTGACATCGAAATGTCCAAACTTCTTTAGAAGTTTTCAGCATAGTGCTCTCGAGATAGTATAATATCACCATCCTTATGACTTTAATACCCAAAATCAAGTCTTGCTTCACCCAAATCTTTCATATCAAATTTTGAAGCAAGAAATGATCTTGTTTCATTTATTAACTCAAGGTCGCTACTAAATATTAACATGTCATCCACATACAAGCAAATAATAATGCACACACCATTTTTTATTTTAGTGTATACACACTTATCTACTTCAAGTGAGGTAAAACCATGAGCAAATAATACTTCATCAAAATTTTCATTCCATTGTTTAGGAGCTTGTTTCAAACCATATAAAGATTTGATCAACTTACACACTTTGTGTTCATGTCCAGAAACTACATGACCCTCCAGTTGCACCATATAAATTTCTTCCTCTAATTCACCATTTAAAAATGCCATTTTAATATCCATTTGATGGACAAGAAGTTTAAAAATAGAAGCCAAGACAATTAAAGTTCCAATGGAAGATATTATCGTTACCGGTGCAAAAGTGTCAAAATAATCAACATCTTGTTTTTTGAGAAAATCCTTTTGCCACAAGCCTCGCTTTATATTTGTCAATTGAACCATCCGGATTAAATTTCTTTTTAAAAAACCATTTACATCCGATTGGTTTGCACCCTTTAGGCAAATCAGTTAAAATCCATGTTTTATTTTTCTGGATAGAATAAATTTCATTTTGAATTGCCTCAAGCCAAAAGGGAGCCTCTTTTGATGAAATAGCTTGTGAATAAGTAAAAGGTTCATCATTAACAAGATATGTTTAAAAATCGTTTCCAAAAGATTTTTCTATTCTTGGCCTCTTACTTCTTCTCAAATTAGAGGGTTCATCATTAAAAATTTCATTTTCTTTTATTGGTTCACTTTCACGATCCTGAGGAAAAAAATGTGGTTAAGGCAGGTGCTGGCTACCGGCCCCGCCCGGATTTCTGAGGAAGTTTTTTTTTTACCAAGATTTCAAGTTCGAGCTTCTCGTGATTCTGGAGAAGCAGTTATATTCTAATGACTAATGTAACGACTATGTTTTTATTTTCATTTTCTTGTTGGTCATTATGTTCTTTTAGTTGTGTTTTTGTTTTCTTTTAGTAGGACTTTGGAGTTTTTGGGTTGGTAGTGAAAAACGACCGCCTTTGGCTCAGTCACGATTATTATAGGATCGACAAGCCATATTGCCTTTTGAAAAGTAATTGTCTATTAGTTAAGTTCGACGGATGATGATTGCAAGAATACTTTTTGTCTATATATTACTCACATGAATTCTAATTATTCGATATAAATCATTTTCTTTACGAACAAAATACTATTTGGGATGTTTTTACTTGAATTGAAATTTGCTAGTCTGACTGATCTCTATATATTTTACAACTATCTAAATCTGGTTTGATCTGATCTCATCTAATCTAGTGTGATTTGATCTAATCTAGGGCTACAAACCTTAATATTTCCCACAACCAGACGCGGAAAGAGTAACACTACAATGAAAAATCAACGTATAGAAAATACGGAGTACAACTGCTCAAAAAAAATACGGAGTACAAGTCAAACCTATTACGGAGTATAACATCGCCGACACCGTGCAACCTCTACGGAGCAATTCTGACGACGAGCTCTATTAACGACGCCGTAACACCGAGAAGCCATAACCACTCACGCATCGAATGAGGACAATGAAGTAATCTTCACCACAGTCGTGCTTTCCCGATCTATCCTCCATCCGTTGCTCCTTCCTCCGCGACAATCTTCCATTCATCCAATTGGAATCCCCCCAATCCGCTAAAAACCCTAGGTGAGAAATCTCACTGGTCCGCATGGAGATCGCACCGGCTGCGCCGACGTCTCACGACGGTGGCAGCGGGATTTCCACTGCCGCCGCTTCCTTTTCAACCTCAGTCGATGCAATCAAGGCGACTGCCGCTTCTTCTACATCATCATCATCCTCATCGGTGCTGCCGGACGAAGCGAATAAAATTAGTGGAGGCAGTGGTTCGGCTTTCAATTACGACGACGACGAAGAGGAGGGGGACGTTTGCAGGATCTGTCGAAACCCCGGTGAAGCAGATAACCCCCTCCGCTACCCCTGCGCGTGCAGCGGCAGTATTAAATATGTTCACCAAGATTGCCTCCTTCAATGGCTCAATCACAGCAACGCTCGCCAGTGCGAGGTTTCCCTCAACTCTCCTCCTCGCTGTGTTTATCCATATTTTATTATGTATTCCTTACATAGATGTGCATAGCGCTTTGCCTCTATCACCTCTATGTGTACAACCCTGCAAATAAACTTACATTGCACTATAGCAGTATTTCTTCAGCTTGTTCAATTTGGACATTACCATGTCTAAGGGCAAGGTTCTGAAATGCTTGAGGTGCGGAAAAGTCTGAGAGCCTAGGCACTTAATTAAATTTAATGTCTTTACAGTGATGCATAAGTGAAAAAAAATCCAAAAAAATTTAACATATTTTAATTTCTTCAATAAATTTATTCTATAATCAAAATGTTAAAATCATCTAATTTAAACCAAGTACTGTTAAATTTTTCTATGGAATGTACTCTGTAGTAAATGACACAGTTAACTAAGTGGAAAATAACTTTCTACGATATAAGTTAGCCCATTTTTAGGTTTGATCTATCTCAAAAGACTCTTGCATTTCGCCCAATTTGCATTTAGGTTTACACATGTTCATGCGGATTACACCTTGTACCTGGATTATGGATTACATGCTTGATGTCTTTTCGGTGTTATATGCGTAGGCTTATCCCTTTTACGCGCAGTATGCTTTTTCATGCCTCCGGTTAAGGTGTCTGCCTTGTTCTTGAGTAACTGTGATGTGGGGATGAGGCGATTCCCTGCTGCCTCATGCCTGGATGATACCTTCTGCCGCAGTTTGGATCAGAGTCCCTATGGGAGCTGATTGATGGGTCATGTTTGTCAATTTGCCAAAATATTAACTATACAACGTTTAGCCTGTTAGCATTTCTATGGGTGTTCTGGCCTGAGCACACGAAAATCCTTCAGACGTTCATGTGGGCCACGACCAAAAGAATAGAAGTTCCTCAAAGATAAACCTGAACTCTTCTTATAAACCTAAAGAGAATGAATATGATCTTCTAATGAGTAACCTAGACCGTGGGCAGGGGCGGAACCAAGATTATTTTTCGAGGGGGCTAAATAGTAGATCCAAACTTAAAAGACTTATTAAAATATTAAATTGCACTCCGTAATAAAAAAAAATTATCATTTGAGGATGTTTTTGCCTATTACATTCTTTTTTATTGGGTAATTTTTCTAGAAGACTCACCATCCCATGTTTCAAATTTATACTCCGTATATAGACATACATGACTCATAAAAGTCTACTAAGTCACCATAAAGATATATAAATCATACTCTAAATTTTTAACAAATAATATAGGCATATTAAGTCACTATTATTGATTAAATTATTCTATGAAGCATCAAGGTATGTATCAGGCTGAATGGCAAAATGTAAAATAATACTACTATACAAGCAAACAATTACAAATAAATAACTCAATTAATAGGCTTCTATTAAAACAACTCAATTAAGTAAACAAACAAACTGGATATTAATTAGAAGCCTCACGCCCAAACTCAAATAGTTAAAATCAAACTTAATGGAAAGCTAAGAAGCAAAGCTACTCTCTTGCTCAGTTGCTGCTCGTTGCTCAATAAGGTCGAACGAGCACCTCTTTGCAATTCAGATAGGCTTCATCTCCTCTATGCCTTCTGGATTGATTTCAATTTTGAAATCTGATGTAGTCAACATCGATGTCATTTAGCTTAGGGTTTTAATCATTTATCTGATGTAGTCAACATCGATGTAATCGTTTAATAAAGCAACATCGTTTTGGTCTAAATCTAAAAAACAAAATAGAAGTTTTATCTTCTATGGTTGCACCAACAGCGATTCAGCACCCCAACCAACCTTGTTTCCGGCGAATACAGAGCAGTGGATCTCCTGGGGAGCGATTACACTACTACCTTAGAATTTCCGGAGCCGCAGGGGCACAAGCCCCTCCACGCACCTTAGTAGTTCCGCCACTGACCGTGGACCTGTGAAATAAGACATAAGATGGATACACTCTGCAAAGAGAGAAATACTTAAGAGGTCAAAGAAGGGAATATTCGGGTATGGGGGTGTTGCGGAAATGAATAGCTGGTGAAACAAATAAAAACCTTACAACATAATAGTGGAAAGAGACTCTGATGTGATAAATGTGTGTAGACCTAGCTCTTCCAATGGAGCTATGCTACTCGCCTAGCCATTGTGGAATCTCATATAACTCAGGGCCTGTACTGTGTCGGCTACATCAATAGTAATCTATCATAAAAACCCAATATGCCTTAAATCCTTAAACCCCCTTAAGCTTATGTTTTGCTGATGTTGCTGTTCATTGGGAATAGTTCTATGTTGTGTACCGTGCTCTAAGTTGTGCCTCCCTTGAAAATTTCTCATACCCTTAAAAGGCTATTTACACAAAAAGTTCTCGTGGTTCCTACTGTGTACATTTTTTCGTTTTTCTCTACTAATGAACATGCGATATATACAGATATTCATATCTCATATCTATAAGATTCTTCTTAGTTTTAAGTGATCAGGATTTATCTCATTGATCCTGTTGGTTGCAAAATACTAAAATTGTTTTGTGTAGTGAGTTCATTGTCAAACATCCTGTCAATCATAGTCTTTCTAGATTTTGTTTCATTCTTTTTCTTGCATAGTAATATAGTAAAGTGTCTCGGTGAAGTTTTAGGTGATTTATTAAATATATTTCATATGCAGGTTTGCAAACACGCCTTTTCTTTCTCTCCTGTGTATGCTGAGAATGCTCCAGCAAGGCTTCCTTTTCAAGAATTTATTGTTGGGATGGCGATGAAGACATGCCATGTGCTGCAGTTTTTCTTGCGCCTGAGCTTTGTGCTTTCTGTTTGGCTTGTAATAATTCCTTTCATAACATTTTGGATATGGCGGTTGGCATTTGTTAGAAGCTTTGGTGAAGCTCAGAGGTTATTCTTAAGTCATATATCTACAACAGTTCTTCTTACAGACTGCCTGCATGGGTTTCTCCTTTCTGCAAGCATTGTATTTATTTTTCTTGGGGCAACTTCATTGAGGGATTACTTCAGACATTTACGTGAACTTGGAGGACAGGATGGTGATAGGGAAGATGACGGGGATAGAAATGCTGCCCAAGCTCGAAGACCTCCTCCTGGTCAAGCTAACAGAAATTTGGCTGGTGAAGGAAATGGTGAAGATGCCAATGGAGCTCAAGGAATTGCAGGAGCTGGTCAGATGGTCAGAAGAAATGCTGAAAATGTTGCTGCCCGTTGGGAGATGCAAGCTGCTGCAAATCTCGAGGCTCATGTTGAGCAAATGTTTGATGGGTTGGATGATGCTGATGGTGCTGAGGATGTGCCTTTTGATGAGCTTGTTGGCATGCAGGGGCCTGTCTTTCATCTGGTTGAAAATGCATTCACTGTAAGTGTGTTTTGATATTTTTATTTTGCACCACAAGTTTAACATAATAGAAAGATTGTTCCTACACTACATGCCCATGGTGAGTTTCTTTTTTTGGCACAGGTACTTGCTAGTAACATGATATTCCTTGGGGTTGTAATCTTTGTCCCTTTTTCACTGGGGCGGATTATACTCTATTACTTGACATGGCTTTTGTCCTCTACTACAAGTCCTGTATTGTCAACTGTCGTGCCTCTTACTGAAACAGCACTTTCTTTGGCTAATATCACTTCCAGTAGTGCAATTACTGCTGTAGCGAACTTGGCTTCTGAAAACCAGGAGGTTAATATGCTTGGTGAAGTAGCAGAAATGATGAAAACAAATGGCTCAGGGCTAAATGAAATGTCACACAACCTCAGTACTGTAGTCTCATCTGACCTTTTGAAAGGGGCATCTATTGGAGCATCACGGCTTTCTGACGTGACTACTCTTGCTGTTGGATACAGTTTTATATTTTCTCTGGTCTTCTTCTATCTTGGAGTTGTTGCTTTAATCCGGTACACCAGGGGAGAGCCTCTTACGTTGGGAAGGTTTTATGGAATTGCCTCCATTGCAGAAACTATTCCATCCCTTTTCAGGCAATTTGTGGCTGCAATGAGACATCTAATGACTATGATTAAGGTTGCTTTTCTTCTGGTAATCGAACTTGGGGTCTTCCCTTTGATGTGTGGCTGGTGGCTTGATGTTTGTACCATAAGAATGTTTGGGAAGTCAATCACACAAAGAGTCGAGTTCTTTTCTGGTTCTCCATTGGCAAGCTCATTGATCCATTGGGTTGTTGGAATCATCTATATGCTACAAATAAGCATCTTTGTTAGCCTTCTTCGAGGGGTATGATGTCTAATTACATTTCTATGCTTACACAACAATGTATCTCCAATGTTAACTTTTCTGCCATTTCCATAGGTCTTGCGTAATGGGGTTCTTTATTTCCTTCGAGATCCTGCTGATCCAAACTATAACCCGTTCAGGGATCTTATTGATGACCCTGTGCACAAGCACGCTCGGAGAGTTCTTTTATCTGTAGCTGTTTATGGCAGTCTGATTGTGCTGCTAGTTTTTTTGCCTGTTAAACTTGCCATGCGAATAGCTCCTACTATTTTCCCTCTTGATATATCGTAAGATTGCCTTTTGGTTTCCTTTTAACAATTCAGTTTTAATTCTATTTTGCTGATTTTTTAGGATGCTAGTTATTGACATGAAGACATTTTTTTGCAGCGTGTCAGATCCATTTACTGAAATTCCTGCTGACATGCTTCTCTTTCAAATCTGCATTCCGTTTGCTATTGAGCATTTTAAATTGCGGACAACCATCAAGTCTCTTCTCCGATATTGGTTTACGGCTGTGGGTTGGGCTCTTAGCTTGAGTGATTTCTTACTGCCTAGACCAGAGGATGGTGGTCAAGAGAATGGAAATAATGACCATGGCAGACAAGACAGGGTGAACAGGCAACTAGGTAGACAAGATCAGGCTCTTGTGTTAGGACATGATAATGATAATTTGAACAGAGGGATACATTCCACAGCAGTTAATGGCAGTTCGATAGAGCAGTATGATGGTGATGAACAAACTGACTCTGAGTAAGTTGAATTGTACAAAACCCATACACAGAACCATCTTTCTATAATATTAATCTCACCTATTCTTGAACCATTGCCTATTGATTATGCATTGCAAATATCTTAGATTTGTGTTACTATCATTTAGCAGGTACAGCTTTGTGCTTCGAATCGTACTACTGCTGGTTGTAGCTTGGATGACTTTACTTGTATTCAATTCTGCTCTGATAATTGTTCCAATTTCACTTGGACGTGCACTCTTTAATGCCCTTCCACTTCTGCCAATCACACATGGAATCAAGTGCAATGGTATGATTATAATAGTTGGCTGATGATGATATGTCATTACTTCCATGTCTCCTGTGTGGGGTAATACTAAAACTTCTTCTAAAGCTAACTCCCTCCCTCCTTTATAGATTTATATGCATTCGTAATCGGAAGTTACGCTATTTGGACTGCTTTAGCTGGAGCTAGGTACTGCATTGAACATATCAGAACTGGAAATGCTACAGTTCTTATGGGTCTGATTTGGAAATGGTGTGGCATTGTTATAAAGAGTTCTGCACTTCTGTCAATATGGGTAATTGCACATTATTGCTACTGTGTGCTGTTAACTATGTTTATTACTTTATGCATCCTATGTTTGCTCTTAAAATTTCATCCTTTGTTTATATTATATTTCCGATCTTGGTTCTTATTTTTTCTTCCTTTTTATAGATATTTATCATCCCGGTATTGATTGGGCTGCTCTTTGAACTTTTGGTGATTGTGCCAATGCGAGTGCCCGTAAATGAGAGTCCGGTTTTCCTATTATACCAGGACTGGGCTCTTGGGCTCATCTTTCTGAAGATTTGGACTAGGCTGGTACGTAAAATAATATCTAATGGGCTCTTGTGGCAAATGTTTTCTGAAATGTTTCAGGAAAATGATATCTCATATTCAGAAGGGAAAACTATTTTCCACAGAAGTAATGAATCGGGACAATATTTAGGAAAATGATATCTCATATTCAGAAGGGAAAGTTATTTTTCACAGAAGTAATGAATCGGGACAATATTTTACACATAATAATCTTTCCAGGAAATATTTTCTTTGGTACATAAAGAAACCGTAGTCTAGGTTATTTATTTTGTAAAAAATGATGCTATGGTTGATTTCTTAGTGAAAACAAATGTAAGATTGAGAGTGTCAAATTTTTTAAAGAGCCCCATATGACTTAAGGAGTCACATGTGGTAGTGTGGCACCATCCTAACCACTCATATTTTAGTGGGTTGCCCCATTACAAATATGAGTGGTTAGGATGGTGCCACACTACTCCATGTGTCTCCATAAGAGAATCATATGGTGCTCCATAAATTTACTCTTGAGAATGCGAATCATATATGTTTGCAATGTTTTTTTGCCTATAAACAGGTAATGCTGGATCACATGATGCCATTGGTGGATGAGAGTTGGCGAATTAAATTTGAGAGGGTCCGACAAGACGGCTTTTCTAGGCTGCAGGGATTTTGGGTACTTAAGGAGATTGTAGTCCCCATCATAATGAAGCTTCTCACGGCACTCTGTGTTCCATATGTCTTAGCAAGGGGAGTTTTCCCTATACTTGGTTACCCTTTGGTGGTTAACTCTGCTGTTTACCGGTTTGCTTGGTTGGGATGCCTCGGCTTCAGCCTCTTGTGGTTTTGTGGGAAGCGTTTCCATGTATGGTTCACCAACCTTCATAACTCAATACGAGACGACCGTTATTTGATCGGTCGCCGGCTTCACGATTTCGGCGAGGATGCTATTATCAATGCGGAGAGGAGTCAACAGAGCGAAGAGGGGTCCCAGGAGGAAGCACAAAGTAATACCCAACAGTCAGCAAACACAGGTGTGGTGAGACAGAGAATCGCTTTCAGGCAAGAAGATGGTTAAGGAAGGCCCTCCCCAACAGAAGAGGTGTTTTTTTCGTATGTTGACCACTTGTCAATGATGTGTTTCTTGCCCGCTCTGTCACATACGTAATGGTTGTGGTGGAGGGGTGGGGGTATTATTAGTGACACTTCTGTCCGTCAATAGTTTTTCAGTGAACTTTTGAAGTTGTGAATATGGTCTAATGTGCGTGTTTTGAAGAGGTGTAAATTAAGCTCAGCTACAAAGTACAAACTGCTCTTGCCATTACTTTTAGTCGATTCATTGTAATCCGTTTTTACCTTCTAATCTTTCTGCATCCTATATTGTACTGGGGTATATTCAGGGATTGATGTCATGGCAGTTAACTTATATGTATACATATTTGTTAATCTTTTTAAGTTTTATGTCTTCTCTCACCCAAGATTGGGGGATTAACAAGTAGGGCGTAGGTCTGTCAATGGGTCGGGTCTAGATCCGGACCCGACCCAGACCCGACCCGGACACGGTTGATTTTAACGGGTACGGGTTTATATTTTATTCCGTTCATCCGGATCCGGACCCGTTAGTATTTTTAATAAACGGGTTGGGTATGATACATATGATTCTGACCTGTTAAGGACCCGGACCCGTTTAAAATTTATTATTTGTATGCATAAAGTGATTAGTGATAACACTTGAAATAAAAAAATACAAACTAATGTATATACACACATACACACATAATATACAAAAACTTACTAGTTGTAATTCTACAATTAAAAATATACTACCTCCGTCCCTGTGGACTTTGTCAAGTGCAAAGTAGGTGAGGAATAAGAAAAGTAAAAACTGCGTGGTTGAAATTTGTGCAGAGGAGAGAGAAATGTGTAGAACCACAAATTAGTTGCTTTATTAGGATAGTGACAATTTTTTGGGACAACCAACAAGGGAAAGTTGTCAAAGTCCAATGTAGGGGTGGACTCGGGCCGGGCCAACCGGCCCGGAACCGGACCGGCCCGCTACTGTGCGGGCCCGGACCGGCCCGGTCACCCGGTTCTTGACCGGTTCGGGCCACCCGGCCCGGTGGTATAGCGGTCCGGGCCCGGGCCTCCATTTTAGTGAACCGGCCCGGCCGGGCCGGGCCCGGTTCGGGCCTCCAACGGCCAAATTTAAATTTTTTTTTTTTTTAAATTGGAAGAGGCTCCTCCTAGCCGTTGGGAAGGCTTCCAAACGGCTCTATAGCCGTTGGGAGCATAGGAGGGGGGGGGTCTGGGGGGTTAGGGGGGTGGGGTGGGGGGGTCGGGTGGGGGGTGGGGGTGGGGTATAAAAAAAAATCTATTTAAACTCCTATTTTCTCTACATTTTTTACATCTCTTCTTCTACAACTCTTCCTACTCTCTAATTTTCTACTCTAAATCTCTCATATTCAATCATCTTCATTCTTCATCTTCTCCAAATTCTTTCTACATATATATAATTTATATAATTATTATATCTACTTATATATGAATTATCTATTTAAAAATATATACTTATACACATTCATATTATAATTCTTTACACATTATATATACTATATAAGTATATATACTATACACATTCATATTCACTTGATATTTAGTTATTATCCATACTATTGTTATTTACATATTACATTTAGTTAATATATACTTATATATATATATATATATATATTAAAGTATTAAGTATAAGTGTATTACTCATCTTATAGTAATATACTTATATATTATATACTATAAACATTATATTATATATTACTTATAATAGTAGTTAATTGTTAGACTTCTAATTTATCTATTAAATTAGTTAATTGTTACATTTCTCTACATTTCTCTACATTTCTCTTTAAAGAAAAAAATAGTTAAAGTAGTATATTTTTACATTTGTCATATTTCAATTAGTTAAAGTACTTAATTGTTTCATTTGTCATATTAAAATTAGTTATTTCATACATTGCTCATTAAAGTAAAAAAAAAACTAGTTAAGTTTTACATTTGTCATAATAATATTAGTTAAACTACTTAATTGGTACATTTTTCATATTAATATTAGTTACTTGCTACATTTCTCATTAAAGTAAAAAAAGTAGTACATTTTTACATTTGTCATATTAATATTAGTTAAAGTATACATTTCTCATTAAGGTAAAAATTACTAGTAAATTTTTACATTTGTCATTTTAAAAACTACCTAAAGTAGTTAATTGTTAAAATTGTCATATTAATATTAGTTAAACTACCTAATTGTTACATTTCTCATATTAATATTAGTTAATTTGTACATTGCTCATTAAAGTAAAAAAAAAACTAGTTAATTTTTACATTTCTCATATTTATATTAGTCAAACTAGTTAATATTTAGTTAATTGATACATTTCTCATTAAAGTATTAATTAGAAGTAGTTCGATTTGTATACTCATATTTTAGTTTTCTTAGTCACATTTTATTATTACTATTGTACTCATATAAAATATTTGATATCATTTAATATTTGTTCAATATTAAAGATGGAACGTGGTAGACATTCTGTAGATGTGGGTAATCTCCAACGCAACCGCAAGAGGGAGATTGCGTCGACTCGTCCTAATTCACGCAAAGGCAAAGGTAAAGCGCGGGCCGAGTCTTCTTTTCAAAGTCGAGATGATTTTGAAACGGATTACCAACGGAGAGATGATATGATGATGTCCGACGAGCATCTACAAAACCTATTGTCCCAAAACGATCCACGCTTTGCACAAGAACAACCCATCCCGACAACCATTGATGAAGAGGAGCTCGAGGATGACGATGCGGAGGAGGACGCGGGGGGCGACGGGACTCGCGGCACCCCGGATGATGAGCAAGACTTGAAGGACGAGGGCGGTTCAACCCAAACTGGTAAGAAATCTAAATCTCCTATTATTGAAAACAATTTTACAAAAAGGAAAGACAAAAATACCGAAAAATGGTACGCAAGTTGCAATCATTGCGGCAAAGAGTATAGCTTGGGAACTTCTGGCGGATACGGGAGTCTCACAAGGCATCTTAAGTCCGCCCATCTTGTGGAGTATGCGAAAATAGACAAGGGCAAGGGGAAGCAAACACAAATATCGAGGTTTGCAAATTCTCAACCCTTTGGTAATTTCTCCTATGATGATAAAAAACATTTGACTGGTATGTCTCATTTAATTGTTGAAGAAAATTTACCCTATATTTTTTTTCGAAAGTCTTGCTTTAAGAGATTATGCTCAAGGCACTTTAAATCCTCAATTTAGAAATTATAGTCGCAAAACGATTAAAAAAGAAGTTATGAGGCAATATAACTTCGAAAAAGAAAATTTACAAACATTTTTCGCAAACTTATGGACGTGTTAGTATTTGTAGCGATATATGGGAGGATACTTATCATCATTTATATTATTTGGGTCTTACTGCACATTATATTGATGATGATTGGAATATGCATAAACGTGTTCTTGCATTTCGTGAATTGTGTGGTGCTTCTACATTGATGGGTAGGTTTTTTCATCAACGTTGTGCATGTCTTATTCTAAATTTGTGTGTACAAGATGGATTAGCGGCATTAGGAAATGCTTTGGAGGTAGTGAAGGGGGGAATTAAATTGATTTGGGCTAACACTCCACTAAAAATGCAATGGCGACAATATTTGAAGGAAAGACGTGTCAATTATTGTGCTTTTCCTAAAGATTTGTCTATTCGTTGGAATAGTACTTATAACTTAATTCAAGTACTTATTAGATATAAAGAACATTTTCCTGCTTTTTTAAGACAAACTTGTAACTATATTATAAACCCGGCTGACATCGACACTTGTGAAAAAATTGTTAATGTTTTGGTATATCTATCTTAATATAAAAGGAAAAGATTTTTGGTGAATAGTTTTCCCTCCCAAAAGTGTCAACATCAAGCTTAGGTCCTTATTTCATTTACATTTAGTAATTTGAGCTAATAGTACAATTGGAGAAAAGTTTACATGGTAGTACAAGAGATTGATAGACAGTAAAAAAAGTAAAATCTTTTGGTTAAAAACTGTACAATATATATCTCCCAACAGTATTATTTATTTGATTGGTACGCATTTGGATGATTTCCGCGGCTGTCATCCATTGGTTTGCATGGGTTGGTGGAACTACATTTTTCCCATTGGCTAGATTGGTGGTGTGAATAGTGAGCCATGAAATTCTATTGGTTGGGGTGGTGGCAGGAATAGTGACCTTATATTTTTTCCAGATTTCTAACACAACTTGGTTTGGTTGAGAATGAACTAGCAAATCTAACTAGATCTTGAATCTCTGCTATAAAAGACTCTCGGATTTGCACTCTGTTCAGGATTGGCTGAAATCTGATTTATGTGTTCAATTGCTAAAAAAGGTGGAAATAGTAACATCAGTTTTGGCCAGCCTGTTTATTGGGAAATGTGAAGCTTCTTATGGACGCTTCCGATGGAAAAGGCTTTAATATTTTCGCCATATATACATGCACCCTCATATCAACTAAGCACCCCATCTTTAGCCTCTTGCCTTTCATTTATGTTTTGAGCCTACAATAGCAAGAATATCATCATGCACACACACTCAAAGAAAAGAAGGTGGGCATGCAACTTTAGACGTTTAAGCAATAGGAGAAAACGTAAGAATATCATTTATGTATGTATGTATCATCTATGTATGTGTATGTGCATTCGAAGGAAAGTAACTACTGAAGGAAGAAAAGCAAAAGGCATACAATGATACAACTCTACTATGCTTTGATTAAATTTAGTCCTATATCAATTTTGAAAGGGATGCTTCTGAAGAGTTATTTGGTAGAGTTTGCTAGCTTATTATGTTGCTTTTCCTAAATGGAAAAGCATTTTGTTAAACCCAATTTTAAAGAGCAAGTTGTATACCCATTATATTGTTTTCCATCTGCCATTGTTTATCTTATTTATCAAGCTTATAATATGAATAAGCAGCATTTATGAGCTTTCATTTCAGGAGACTATGTTAGGCAGGGTTAAGCTATGCCAAGGAAAATTTTGTTTGCATTTTCCAGAATGGGCAGGGTTATTTGTTTTCTAATTCTATAAGATTTGAAATCAAAGTAATAAAAAAAAGTAATATTTCAGCATGATCACAAACTGGGTCTATGAAATATGTTTATGATGCCATATACGAGTCATTTTTGAAACAGAATTGTTAAGTTAGCAAGTGTTCTTTTTTAACATAAGTTAGTGAGTGTTTAGAAAAATCAAAATGCTACCTATAATTAATTCTGAGTCATCAATATATAATACTCCATACATAGAGAAGAGTGAAACTAGGAACTTTGAAGAGTTAACAAAGATAACCAATTCATTGATTTCATTTCAAGAGATTACAATTTAAGAT